TCAGGGTTCCCCCAGGGCCTTGTACCCCAGCACTCAAAGGCTGAATGAAGGCCAGAGTCACCAGAGTGGTCAACCCCTCAGGTGTGAGCGTGAATCAGACAAGGTTGTGAAGTAGGCCCCACCTAGGCGGGGAAGGAGGAAGGAGCTTGGATTTCCCAAGAGAAAGACAGGCGATACAGGTGAACTGGGGTTTCTGCAGTTGAAGGAGGTGAGCAGGGTTTGACACAGGCGGAAACACAGAGAGCAAATCAACAGGAGGGAAAATGTAGTCTCAGCAGCGATGTTAGGATATGCAAATTAGAACACCATTAAGGCCCCATTACAGCTGAGTCAACTTGAAAATAAATAAATATTTAAGACAAGAAAGCTGCTGTTGGGAGGGTTGTGGGGAAGCAGCCAATGTGCGCACTGCCGGGTTACAGTAATCTGCTTAACCCTTCCTAGAATGGGATCTGACATTGTGCTGCAAGAATCTAAGACTCTGATCGGGTAATTATGATTGGGAGACTATGAAAACAATCCAAAATACCATCAGCACAGTCGGAGACGTTCACGGCAACTGTGTATCGCGCCAAGGAAGAGAAGTCTACTTCGACTGTGGTCTGATACAGCAACAGGGTGAAATGTGAATGGGCTCAATACACCGACCAATCCAAGGAAGTCACGTGAAGTGACAAAATTAGCCCAAAGAAATGTGTAGAGGCAAACTTGCAAACAGACGCCCACGGGAACATCAGACACAATCAGGTGAGAAGTCTGAACAGTACAAATTGTTGCTGGGTAATGTTTGTCCTATCAGACTGATGAGGACAGTTTAAATAACAAGGGTTGATGCTGATCCTGCCCAGGATGGGGGAGCCGTAGATCAGACTTTCTCAAGGTACAGGATCCAGGGCCACAAATAAGCGCAAGCCCCAGGCATCTGGATGGAGACAAGAAAGGAACCCAAACTGCTAGAGAAGGGTCGTGGGCAGAAGGACCCCAGAACTTTATCTGGACAGCTCTGAAAGACACCTGCCACAGCAGGAATGAAGTCACCCAAATAAACCACACCATTTAACCTTCAGCATTCTCGATGCTGACTCTTATCTCTGTATGAGTGCTCTCAATTTTACTAATACCACAGTGCAGCAGCTTCGAAGGTGATACCGGGGCTCTTTGTGGGCTAGCCTAGGAACCCAGAAACCATTTATAGCATTGTTTCTATGGAAATGTGTTTCAAGCTCAAAAAAAAAAAAAAAAAAAAAAACTGAGCAGCTGACAACCCTGGGGCACACACGTGGTCTCTAAATTAGGGAACTGAGATGGGCTGGTCCTGAGCTCAGGAAGATGGCCTGCTACTTAGATCCTGCAGTAATTAATATTCAATCACTATCAGTGAGCAGAACCGAGCTCACTGTCGGGGTAGGGTGAGGATGGAGCCAGAGCACCTAGGAAGGGACACCATGTGTCAGGAGGAAGTGATGGACCCTGTCTCTACTCACACTCACGGGCATTACTTGTCCCAGAAGACATGAAACTAGCCCGACTATCCCTCATGAGCTTCCAGGCAAGCCGTGAACCCACACTTCTTCCAATTCCTCTTTGACTCTGGCAAACCTCCAGCCACAAGGCCTTCAATCTGATCACAGACCAAACAACTCCCAGGTCTTTGACAGTTCTGCAATTTGGTTTTAACAGACAATGCTTAAGACAACAGGGTCCTAGATAGGCCTGGACAGAACCAAGCCCCTCTCCAAGTTTTGTTACAGTGGCCCTTGTTTTAGCAAGCTCCGACCTGCCCAATCAAGATCCACCCAGAGCTCTGTAGCTCCACCTACCCTAAGACTTCAAAAGCCCGCCAATGAGTCTCCATTTCCTGCTGGGGTCACAATCCTGGGCTGGTCACAAGAAAAGGACAAAGAAAGGGTCTCTGAACAAAAATAGCAAGTGCCATGAAAGTTCCCCACTCTGAAGAGGAGACTACACCTAAGGGGTTATCTGAGAGCGGCAGGGCCATTGTCAGGGCACCGCAAACTCAAAAATGCCCCAATTTAACAAGGTAGTCTGGAAAAGGGCAGCTCTCAGCTGCAGCGCAGCACTAAGTGGCAAGCTGGTGACAATATGGGGATGCAGACACCCTCTTTGATAAGCCAGAGGTGGATTGGAGGAAGGTGGAGGCTTCATCTGGCCAGCACTAAAGAACAGCAAACTCCAAGTTTAATACTAAAACGTGAACAACAGCGGACACACCCAAGACACTACCTCACTAGGGCCCCACCTGGCTGACGCTGGGCTGTGGAGGTCAGCTGGCGGAGCTCACCCTCCCTCCCGCTACCAATTAGGGAGTGCAGAAGAGAGAGCTGGCTCTCGCCACCTGTGGCTAGGGCTTGCAAGTGAGTGGGTGGCTCGGAGTCTCCAGGGCTATATGCTCATCCTGCTGGCTGGTTCCCTGGAAACTCAGCTGTGAGCGACCTTCTGGGTCTCTGAGCCACCTGGGGTTGCGGAAACAACAGGAGGCAAGGTCCTCACGCTGTGAGCCCTGAGGTTACACAGCTAGCCAGCCTGTGCGGTCAGGCCAGTCTGAATTCCCCAGCCCCAGCAAGCAGCGACAGCGGTTGATAAGCCAGAGCAGTTGGGCCTTTCTGGTGGTAACAGATGGGAGGCTCCGAGGCCCTCCCCGACTTTCCCACCCATTCCCATAGTCTTTGATGTTGCAGCCTAAGCTTTTGAAAAGTGTAAACGCTATACATCAAATACACAAGCTCTCCAAGCATAACCTCTTCACCTACACCCAGCGTTTGCATTACGTCAATTCATACTATGGCCAAGCACTCAAGACTTTATGCATTCACCTAGTACATACACAGGCAGTTTCACGGTCCACTTATTTTCATCAAAATGTATCCACATTCTCCCATGAATTAGCATCATCTTCATATTAATGCAGCACAATACTTCCCAGAGTCCAGGTATCATAAATCATGTAGTCATATGAAACCCTGAAGCCGTGAACAGTTTTCTTGTTATTTTATTAGACTGTCCTTTGCAACAGACAAACCCTAATCTGTCCTAGTTTCCCATTCTTCTTCTTCTTTTCAATGTGTACTTGTGCTTTTGCCATGGGCGTTGGGTCCCCTCCCCTAGAACTGGAGTTACAGTTATGTGGAAGCTGGGAATTGAATCCAGGTCCTCTGAAAGAGCAGCCAGTGCTCTTAACCACTGAGCCATCTCTCCAGCCCCTTGCTAATTTAAAACAACATTGCCACACATATCTTCATGCTTATAACTCTCTATTCTTTTTCAGAACTATTTCCTTAGAATTAATTCCCAAGAGCAGCACTAATAGGTGAAAGGTAATTAGCATTTTCTTACAGCTTCAAGCTTGGTATTTAAAAATATATATTGTTCCCTGTGAGTTACCAGGATTGTCTAGTTTCCAAAGTTCTCCTGACAATACTCTCAACTCCAGTAATAGGGTACACTCCCCTCACCCCGCCTCTGCCATCCAGTGCTAGGATTAAACTCAGAGCTTTGCACATATCTATCACCCCTTACCAATGTATGTGTGTGTGTCTGTGTGTCTGTGTGTGTCTGTGTGTGTGTGCATGTGTCTGTGTGTGTGTGCATGTGTCTGTGTGTGTGTGCATGTGTCTGTGTGTGTGTGCACAGCCAGTATGTCCCAGTGATTCAGTGATTCTCCAGCCATGCCCAGACTTGGGTTTAAAAATATATATGGTCAGGCCCAACCTTTTATGGGAGTGTTGGAATCCAAACTCAGGTCATCATGCTTGTACAGCACGCGCTCTTACCCACTGAGCTATCTTTCCAGCCCCCTGGATCTACTCTTAACATGCATGCTTTCTGGAGTTGGGGAGAGGGCTCAGCAATTAAGAGCACTGGCTGCTCTTCTAGAGGACCCTGGTTCAATCCCCACCACCACCTACATGGCAGTTCACAACTCTCCGTAACTCCAGTTCCAGGGGATCTGACACCCTCATACAGACACACATGCAGGCAAAATATCAATGCATATAATAAATAAATAGTTATAAAGTGCATGTTTTTCAGTTCTCCTGTGGGTTGGGCATCTGGAGTAATATTCCATGACTGAATGCCCTATAACATTAGCTGGCACAACTGACTTGTTGATAATATATATGGATATAGAATTGATGCAGAATGATAAAGAGACATTTAGAGGGCTGAACATTAGAGGGCCGGATGGAAAGACAGAAGAGAAGGCACCACAGAGATAAAGGCTAAGGCTGTGTCTGCACACTGGTCATCCTAAAATAAGCTGAAACCTCTCTGGCCGTCAGACTCACACTGGCTGCCCCTGGTCTGATCTGTCAAGAGCAAGGATGGGCTCCTAAAAGGCAGAGGAAACACCACGTTCTTCCGGGGTTTGGAAATCTATCCAGGAACAATGTAAGGCAAGCACTCACCGCTGGAAAGCAAGCAATGCACTCGAGTTCTGCCCAAGGTTGCCTCTGCTTTGAAAAAGACAGTCCAGGGGCTGGAGAAATGGCTCAATGGTTAAGAGCACTGACTGCTCTTCCAGAGGACCCGGGGTTCAATTCCCAGCACCCATATGGCAGCTCACAACTGTCTGAAAATCCAGTTCCAGGGATCTGACACCTTCACACCAATGCACATAAAATGAAAGATAAATAAATCATAAAAAAAGACAGTCTAGTTCAGCAGCCATAGTAAGGAAGATGCTTTCCACGATACTCTTCAAGGGACACACAGGCCCAAGGTGTCTATCTGGGGAAGGACTACCTCTACAAGACCTCTGGTTCCCACAGCAAGGCACCATGGCAACCACCTGGCAGGCAGCATTCACAGGCTTGCAGCATCTCCAAATGGGCAGGACCACATGTGTTTCAAATCATTTTACAGACACATAAGGGCCCCACATTTCTGCTTTGTGGCTCATGCAACACCCTGAAGTCACTGTCAGGAAGACAAGTTTCTCCCCACCCTCTAACAGGAAGAGCAACTAGACTGAGCAGGGCCTTCCTCTGAAAGAGCCCTCCTCTCTCCCAACAGTGGGCTGACCCGTTCTCCCTCATTCCCTCCGTGCAGAGCCAGCAGACTGCCGAGCAGGAGAACTGAGGGGCCTCTCAGGACAGCCAGGATGTGTGCTTCTTCAAGTGGGAAGGCAAGACTGCTGCCTTTAAACCAGTTCCTCGTCATAGACACCAGGTCAGACTGGGGTGAGGGGGCACCGTCCTGAAGGTGACCGACTCCGCATGCACTCCTACGCCCCTGACCACCAGGTCCCATCCTACGCACCCAGAGCCCCTCAGGCTGCCCTTGTGTCCTCCCTGTGAAACGCCTACTGTCTGCCAGACACAATTCTGGGCCAGTGAGACTCCAGGCACACCAGCATCTGACTCCAACATCTCACAGCTGGAAAGGAGGTGGCTCAAAAGGGCGATGTGGAAGCAGGTGATGTCTAGCTGGCTCTGTGGACCTCTGCCAAGAGGGAAGAGAGCAGGGAAGACACTCCACACAGAGGGAACAACAAAGGGCAACCGCAGAAGGAGTGCTAGAACCAGGAGCAGGGAGGACTTCCTCCAACAGAAAGGATTATGCTAAGGCAATAGGGGCGCAAGGGAAGGTGGGCTGGGACTTAAGGGCCTTGGTGCTGTTCTGAGGAAGGTGGAGTTTCTCCTGCAGGATGTGGGTAGCTCTAAAGGCTGTGAAGGAGGGTGACATGACCAAAGCTGTATTTTAATAGAATAACTCAGGTCCCTTGAGGCTTCATTTCCGCTTTAATGTTGCTCTTAACACATTTTATTTCATCTGGATAGACGGGGGGGCTAGTTCAGTGTAAATTAGCTCAAAGTCAATATGGCCAAGAAGGCAACCTTTCCCCCACCAACCTGGCAATCCTGAGCCCCACACTAATCACTAAGCTTCAGCATCAGGGAGAAAATTCTGAACTACTACTGATGGTCACCACAGCTAAGCACCGCTAAATCCAACACTGCAATTTTCTTTTTGTTGGGTTTTTTTTTTTTTTTTTTTTTACAGAAAGTAGTTTATTTGTCCAAGGTTCCTGGAACCAAATGACCACATTTTTTCGTCAAGGAGCCCTTGCTCCAGAGAGATAATGTGAGGACAAAGAAGGGGTCTGGAGTTCACAATCACTTTTGGAAAATTGAACAAGGATGTGACAGGCGATGATGCTGAGGGCCCAGGCAGACAACGCCCTAGCTCCTATCTCAGGGGAAAAAAAAGCTCAGTAGAACATTTAACCAAGATTGACATCTTCAGAACTGCAGGGTGTCCACTGATGGGGTACCAGAGACCTCAACCGTTTCACAAACCAAACCAGAGGCCAAACACTAACCTCAGGTCTGAAAGCAAGACGGTACCCTCCCAAACTCCTAATGATCCTATGGGTCTCCAGCAGCCTTGGAAGAGGAACAAAATTCAAGTCGTAACTGTTACCGAGAGGGCGCCATGCCTTGGCATCTGCTCTCAAGGGGCAGCACTGAAGGTTTCCAAATGGAAACCGGGCTCCCCACATGCTGGGCTGCTCACTCTTCCCCACTGGAATGGCTCCAGTTCCAGAGAACAAGCCCAGTTGCTAACGAGACGCTTGACTCTCCAGAGCATACAGGAATCCTAAAGCTCAGCCGAAGGTTAAAGATTTGGAAAGATGTCCAAAAAGATTATGATCAAGAGGTGGATGTTTTAAAAACCCAAGAGGGATGTTCTGTCTCTCTCCCACATCCAGCACTTCCAAACAACCTAGTCTAAACACTAGAATGGGCTCTGGACTAGACGGGACATCTGTCTACTTAGCACGTGTACCCCTCCCTTGGTTTCAGACACCTGGCACTGAGACCCAGGGGGAGGCAGAAGTTCACCACTGGAGAAGCCACAAGTTCTTGAGTTTGGCACCTGGGCACCAGCAACAAGCATGCAGAAACCTAAGGTAAGCTGAGCTGACTGAATGCCCAGCCTAGAGCAGCAGTTCTCAACCTGTGGGTCGAGATCCCTTTGGGAAGTCACATATCAGATATCTTACATATCAGATATTTACATTCTGACTCATAACAGTAGCAAAATTACAGCCATGAAGAAGCAATGAAATAATTTTATGGTTGAGGGTCACCATGACGTGGGGAACTGTGTTAAAGGGCACAGCATGAGGAAGGTTAAGAACCACTGGCATAGAGACTGAGTGGTACCCAAAGGCAGGGGAAGTTCAGAACTCATTCTGGAAGGGGTGGTGCCATGTACCATGCGGGCCAGTGTCTTCATCACCGTGGCTCTGATTCTGGCTATCCAACTTCCCACAAATTCTGATTGATTTCTGAACCTTCCTCCAGGACATTCAATGAGACACCAGATAAGCTTCCAGTAAATTTCTCTTCCATTCTGCTAGGGTCACCATCCATTTGTAGGCCCGAGAACCGAATTTACCCTAGTTTCTCCCCACCGACACACAGACTCCTGTGGCCCATAAAACAGTTCACTCAAGTCTCTGGATTTCAGTTGGGGATGTAGTTCTGTGGAGGATGTAGGATGCTTGCTTGGCCAGCACACATTAAAACCCTTGCTTTGATTCCCAGAGTGTGTGTGGGGGGGGGGGGGCAAGAGGAAGAATGGGAAGGAGGAGAAGAGCTTTCTCTATTTTTCCCCTGCTGTGAAGAATCTAATTAAAACACCTATAACCATCCCAAAGAGTCAAAGGCACCTGAGAATAATCAATGTGGCAAGTGTTATAAAGCCCGGATAGAATTCTGGCTCTCAATCTGAACAAACACCCTGCATTAAAAGTATTAGTATTGTAAAGCGGTGGTGGTGCACACCTTTAATCCCAGCACCCAGGAGGCAGAGACAGGCGAATCTCTTTGAGTTCGAGGCCAGCCTGGTCTACAGAGCTTTTGGAAAAGCTACAGAGAAACCCTATCTCAAAAAACAAAAAACAAAAACAACAACAGAAAAAGTATTAGTATTAGAACTGGAGAGATGGCTCAGCAGTTAAGAGCAGTGGCTGCTCTTCCAGCGGACCCGGGTTCAATTCCCAGCACCCACATAGCAGCCCACAACTGTAACTCCAGTCCCAGAGGATCCAATACCTCTCCATACGTGCAAGCAAAACCAATGAGCATTAAAAAATACTATGAAAAAGTATTAGTATCAGAAATAAAAAGTATCCGACTGCCTTGGACCCTCCTCCTCTACTTCCTCACCAGCTCAGAGGAAGGTGAACTTGAACCGAGGAAGCCTAGGTTGTACATCCTGCATACACACCATCTCAGGACGGGTGAGGGCCTACGTTTTTCAGAGAAGCCACATCACATGAGATGTCCCTCTCCACGGCGAAGCCTCAACAACCTAATTCCTTAACCAATACATCTTTCCAACGCTCTTTCTTGGCTTCCCACTGACCAATGGCGTGTTTGCTTTAACCCAATTTCAGGAACACTCATGGGAAGTCTCGCGACGTGCAAGGCACCCTCACCTCGCACACAAAATCTGTCCTCATTCTCATCAGACGCCCGGCTTTCTCTCCCTCTGGCTTTCCTGACATCTCATTTTCCTGTTTTCTTCCTTCTTCACCTCACCGCCTTCTCAGTCTCTGCAGCCACAGCCCTTAACCAGTGATCTCCCCACTTCCTCCTTAGATGATGACATTTATTCTGTGAGCTCCCACGGCTTTCTATGTACCAGTGATCCCCCCAAAATCTGCTCCCAAATATCCAACAGACCAACGAGGTTAGAGAGATAGCCAGGCTTGTCTAGAATTACAGCCATCATATTTACCGAGAGGCTGGGTCTTTGAAGTAGCCTGGTGAAAAGTCAGGTGGGTTACTGGACTGGAAGGGCCAAACCCCACAAGCCATATTTGGGGGGTTTCCTTCCCCAGACCAGTTTGTCTCCCTCTCAGACACCCCACAGGTTCCGCCACCTCAGCATGGCTAAACTCACGCTCAAACTTCCCCCTAAAATTAGTTTTCCCATCTATGTCTTGAGCAGAAATCTGAGCTCACTGTTTAGCTTCTTCCTTGCATGGATCCCCCAAGCCAACACCCTGACGTCTCCTAGTCCATCTCCCACCTTTCTCCCTCTCTCGGGGACTGTAATATCTCCTCTGCGCTGCCTATTGGCCCACCTTCCCCAACCTCCAATTAATCTCCAGGTGCAGCTGGGGTGAACTTCGGTAAGGAAACCCTCATCCACCCACACCCCTACGTGGCATCGCCCCCCTCCCCCATTGAGTTCTAGTTGTTCCCCCACAGTCTCAGGAGCGGTCCAGCCTCTTGCTGGCATGGAAAGTCAGGCCATGGCCTGGCTGCCCACGTCCACCAGTTCTCAGCGGTCTCTGCGACTCATAATTTACTCCCAAGCTGACCTGTTCTATCTTCAGACCTTGCTGAGTGTTCCCTGTCTCTACACTGCCCTGGCTCCCTTTGCTACCGGGTAGATGCCTGCTTGCTTTCAGACTCCTCAGCTCAGGCAGCCTCTCCTTCATTTCCACGGGGGTGGGGGGGGGGGGGGGGGTGGGAGTTTGTTTTATTCTGTTTTGTTCGAGATAAAGTTTCTCAGTGTAGCAGGCTGATCTTGAACCCAGAGATCCACCTATTTCTGCCTTCTGAAGCCTGGGACTAACGGCGAGCACCAGAACTGCCTGGTGAGCCTCATATGGAATATTCCACGGCAGCCGACACAGCACACACACCCTGCAAGGTGTAACGTCTTCCTGGGCCTTTCCTGTCTCCACTCTCCCTTGACCCAGAAAGAGTTAACTAGTCCTGAACACTGAACTATCTAAGGGTTAACTGCTCTTGGATTTTGTGCCCAACTGTCCCCTCACAGACTGTAAATGTCCCGAGTACCACTGTGCCTCACTTTCTCCATCACTGTGCCCTCCATAAAGTGAGTAGCGTGAGAGAAACAGTGGAGAGAAAAAAACATCGTGGAAACCACACAGCTGCAAGATTACCTCTGCGATGGCTAGGACCAATTTTCTTCTCCACACCTGGGGAAGTCAGATTGGAAACGCCATCTGCTAGAGCCCCTCAGAGAGACAAGGTCCAGGCATGGCTGCTGGCTCCTAAGGTACCCCAGAGGGTACTCCGTAGAAGACAGACATTCAGATTGGCCACTTCTCTGCAAGCCTCTTGTTGGCCTTCAGAGGGAAGGTCAAGGAGGAGTAGAGGCAAGGAGAGGGTGTACAGCAGGCCACAGCCTTAGAGCGAGGCAGCCCTGCATGTGGCGGTGCACCCTCTCAGCCCCACCTCAAGTACAGGCAGCCCAGACACAAGGTTTTCATCTGCATCGTAGGTGAACAAACTACAGTTGAAAACCTGCTCGTGGGTCCCTTTTCCACTCTCAGCTGTGTACCTATTCAAAGAGCTTTTCTGGCTTAACCCCATATATTTTTGTCCTAACTTAGCGCCCTCATGATCTTCCCAGAGGCACACAACAATGGGCTCTTGCCGTATTTATTTACATGATACAAATTCAGATAGTCAAGTTTATTACAAGGGAAGGAGGAGAGCAGTACAGGGGAGGGAATGAAGTGGGGGAAAGATAGAACACAATAGAAGGGGTGGGGAATAGCCATGTAAACCCTTGTTCCAGTCAAGGGGAAGCATGGGCTAAAGAGCCTCGAGCCTGCGGAGAATCTGATAGCATTTAAAGTCACCCCCATTTCACACCACACATCCCTCTTCATCGGGTGTTCAGTCTTGGCTTCTGCACCGTCTTCTTTAAATAGAGCAGGTTAAGGCAAATTTCAGTAACAAGAGCTCATATGATCTAGGCATCGTGGTGCATACCTGATCTAGTCACCACATGGAGAAGCCAGCTTGAACAATAAGACAGACTGAACGCAACAAAAGACCCAGTTTCAAAAAAAAGAGAAATACGCCTGCTGTACACCTGGTGTTCCCTAAAGGAAGTTCATTTAATTATATTTGTATTCTTCCCCCCTCCCCTGAGACAGGGTTTCACTGTGTAGCCCAGGCTGTCCTGGAACTCACTCTGTAGACCAAGTTGGCCTTGAACTCAGAGATCCACCTGCCTCTGCCTTGCGGGTGCTGAGATTAAAGGCGTGTGCACCACCACCCAGCTATATATTTGTATTCTTTCCCTTCTTACCAACTATCCCTCCAGTCCCATCCTCCCGGTGATAGTCACCCTCGGGTAGCCTTTCCCTGCCTGAATCTCACCTGGGCCACAAGGTTTCTGTGAGCACATGGGACCCGCTTTGAACCCCTCCCCCATCGTGCCTGTGTCGAGAGTACCATAGCTGTCCCCTAACGCTGGCCTGATGTTAATCAGCTGTCTCAGGATGTCACATCTGTCTTGCTGGACCTTCCCTTCATGTCTCTTGGGAGCTGGGACGGTTTCTCTATCTTTCTGGTATTTATCAAGCCATATTCTGCACCTAGAATATACTAAGTCACTTTGCCGGCCAACTAAATGGTTAGAAAGCTTGTGGGGAAGGGCTGGAGAGATGGCTCAGTGCTTAGGAGCACTGACTGCTCTTCCAGAGGACCCGGGTTCAACTCCCAGCACCCATATGGCAATTAAAGTCAATTAAAGGCTAAGGGTATAGCATGGTATACCCTTAGCAGGTTGTTAGAATGTGTGAAGTTCTGGGTGGCATACCCAGAAAAGAGAAGGGAAGCAGAAAGAGGGGAGGGGAGGGGAGGGAAGGGGAAGGGAAAGGAGAGAAGGGAGGGAAGGGGAGAAGAGGGGAGGGGACCAGTGAGAACACAACAGTGAACAGCCTGTTAAATACATATCCTGCTCTCTTTCTGAAGACTGCCCTCCCACCCTTGGGTTTTTCTTCCTAGTTTCTTCTTTTTAAATACTGCGTGCTGTCCTAAGGAATCTTTGGCTTAGAGACAGACATATTGGAACCGATCCCTGTGATGGCTAAGACGATCGGTGCAGGATGGCCGATGGGAATGGAATGTCTGCTCAACAGCTGTGTGACCTTAGAGGCATCTCATCCTCTCTGCGCTCTGGTTTAACATGGCAGCTTGTGCACACACAGCTTCCGCAGCGCTAAGCCTTTAGCCGCACTGATCTCAGGCGATGTTGTGATCCCAAGTCCATTATTTCCTGAAACAGCAGATTCTAAAAAGTACTGGCGTACTTAAATTTGGTTTGACTTCAGCTCAGAAACGGTGTTCTATGAAAATCTTAATCCCACCAGTATGGAGCCATAAAGAATTTCCGATCAAAAGTGACTCTGGTGTATTAATTGCAGCATTGTTTGCTGCTGCGGGGCTGGAAACAATCCAAGAACTCCTCTGTAAGAGGCCAGTGGCTCTCACACAGCAGAGGACAGTCTAGCCCCTGGGGAAAGGGAAGCAACCCTTTCCTATACAGGCTGGTATAGAGCATTCCCCAAACCTGTGCAAGGATTCAGTTTCCCCTATTGGCCAAGGCTACCATCGGGAAGAGTAGCTGGGAAAAGGTCAAGTTGAGTTGTTTAACAGGGAGAAACACAGGGCTACACGCAGGACAAGCGTTAGATGGGACCTCTTCTTCAAAACTTATATAATCACATTTATCAAGTTTCTCATTTTTGCATGTGTGTTCATGTTCACATGCACAGGTACACATGTGTAGAAGTGTGCACACACATGTGAAGACCAAAGGTTGATGTCAGGGATTGCCCTTCACCTTCTCTATACTAAGGCAGGGTCTCTCACTTGATGCCAGAGCCCACGGTTTCGCTGGCGAGCGAGTCTGTTTCTCCAGGGATCTCATCTCTGTGTTCCAAGTGCTAGAATTTCACATGGGCCACTATGTCCTTGAGTGTGCACTAGAGTCCAAACTCCAGTTCTCAGGCTTGCTCAGCAAGTGCTTTGTCACTGAGCCACCCCTCCAGCCTCTACACTTATTAATATTTTATTATAGCTCCTGGGCTTGGTGTCCTTCTTAAGAAAAATCTTCTTTCTCATAGTTAATGTACACTTTTCTAATTCTCTTTATTATATGTGTATATATTTGTTGTTTGTATGCATGTATGCATAGCAACCTCTTTTATCTGCACTGAGATTATTTTGAGACTTATTTTATACCATGTAACATATCATTTGAATTTTGAACTCTGCATGTCTGTTAGCTTCCCAAATAGGAAATGGAAAAGTGAGGGAGAAGGAGACTCTACCAAATTTTATTTCTAACTAAAATGTCAAAGAATCTACCTTAGATGGTGTATTTTATACTATGTAAATTATATCTTGAGTATAAAAAAAAAATCTTGGGCTGGTGATATGGCTCAGTGGGTAAAGGTAGAGACGACCCTGAGAACCCATCTAAAAGTAGAAGGGGAGTGCTGACCTCAAAGCTGTTCTCTGACCTCTGACCTCCACACAGCACCATGTCACACACGTGTATGCCCATACTCTCTCTCTCTCACACACACACACACAAATTTTTTTTATGATTTATTTAACTTTTATGTGCATTGGTGTGAAGGTGTTAGATCCCCTGGGACTGTACTCTCTGTGAGCTGCCATGTGGGTGCTGGGAATTGAACCCAGGTTCTCTGGAAGAGCAGTCAGTGCTCCTAACCGCTGAGCCATCTCTCCAGCCCCCATACAAAATTTTTTTAATTTACAAGGCAAGGTTGCAAGTAACAGCCTGAGAACTGGGTGGAGGTAATGAATCCTCCCCATCAAGTCCCATGTCAGAGCTTGGCCAGGACCACCCCCTCCAAGACTCAGTAGTCTACTTTAGCCTACTTTTATAGCTTAGTCCCTGATTGCACAAAGCAAGCCTGCAGCCACCTGGGACACAGCCCATCTCAAGTCTTGCCTCAGGTTCCCTCAGAAGGCCAAGCAAACCTAGAAGTAAACTCTCTGCCCTTGGGACAGGCCCCAGGGCACAGCAGGGCATCATGGACAGGACAACACCCAAATCAGGTCAAGGAGGAGTGGGAGCCAAGGCTGGACAGATATTGTCTGATATCCAGAAGAAAAGTCGTGCTAAACATGGAGAAAATTAACGAGGTGAAAAGTCAGAAGGAGTCAGAGAAAGGCTAGCAGGGGAGGCAGGCCTGGAGAAGTATTTGCAAGACTTGGAATCATGGGTTTTGAGGCTTAGCTTACATGCAAAAGTAAACAAATTAAACTCTAGCCCTTTGTATCATTACCATCACCATTGCCATCATCCCTAAGATCATCATCATCACGACCACCACCATCACCATATTTACCAAGATGTCCTGTAAGCAGAGGACTATATATACAGAACAAGGGTGTCTAAACTAGTTCTAAATAGATGATTTTCGTCCATCTAAAGATACATTTGAGAAGCTGAACAGCTATTCTGAGCGAAGCCATGCTCAAAGGAGAATCTGAAAACCCTTCCCCCAGGACCAAGGCTCTCTTCAGCAGAAGGGCCCCAGTGGATGTTACCAGAGTCCCAGGCAGAAGCCCACAGGGTGGGGGCAGGGAAACGCTAAAGGAAGGAAACACGGACTGGGCGGGAAGAGAGCAAAACTGAGCCAAGTGGAAGAGAGGAAGAGGGAGGCACCCCAGGCCTCCAGGAAAGCATGAGAGGCCGAAATGCTTGCCACCAGTGGCTGGACAAACACCCACAGTGGGTCACTGGGTCAGGGCTGTGATTTAGGACAGAAGAACGACAGAGGCCAGACCTCTCTGCAGAAGGTCCTGACTACCAGCCCCGAAGAAGTTTGATCCTTACCACGGAGACAGTGGGGAGCCATTGAAGACTGCGGAATGGGGGAAGGACCCTTGCGAACAGTCATTTAAGGAAGATTACAGAGCAGCCCTTTGTCTGAGATGTATTCAAAGCCCTGTGTGTATTTCAAGTGGCACTTAAGACACAAAGTCCTAACACTTTGGCCCTATGTCGTGTGGACCAGAAAAAGAAGGTTTAAGGATCTCACAAAGAAATGCCTCATTGAGAAGAACTAAGGAACCAAGCCTGTGGTTCAGCACGGACAGCCGCAGCATCTGGGCGATTGCAGTGCTCTCTTTAGAGTCTGGAATGTCCTCTTCGGCAAGGGCTGCTCAGCCTCCTGATTTGGAGGTAGGTTGTTATGTCAAAACACTGCGTTGTGTAGGGCCTGAGGCAGCCAGAGGGAGCAGAGACCTAGGAATAGCAGTTTCAGCTTACACTGCAGAAACGGCCTTCTGCTTCTCCCAGAGCATTTTGGGGGTTCTGTTTGTTTGTTTTTGTTCTTTTCTTCTGGAGTTGCTAAACTACATAATCTCTCTCTCTCTCTCTCTCTCTCTCTCTCTCTCTCTCTCTCTCACACACACACACACACACACACACACACACACTGCATTTCCTATTGGAGCAATAAAAGTATTCGTTACTTCATCAGGTTTTGACTCAGAGCTGTTTCTAAGTGCACAGCAAGGCAGCAGGCAGTGCCGCTTACGGGGCTGTGGAGAGAGTGGCAACATCTGCTCTACAACAGCATTAGTGTAAGGCAGGTGAGGAAGTCAGCCTGGGCTGCTACCACCGCAGGGTGAATTCTGCAAACAGAGGCAAAGCCTAGTAAGCCAGGGGAAGGGCCTAAGTTCTGTGGGAAGCTCAGACTGGCTACACTGGAGAAGCAGACTGCTCCAGAGGACCCCACACTTCCAGGGAGCAGTATTTGCAAGGGACCCCTCCCTGCCACTCCACCAGTCACACCAGGAGAGTCTTTAGGCATAGTCTAGTTGTACAACAAGGACAGGAAAGATCATAAATGAACAGTTCTCTTTCTCTAGGGGTCGGAGGGGAGCACGCTCCTCCCACTAACCTTGGCATCTCTAGGATCTCTCGGAGGCTGTTCTGGTCAGGTGATAAGGACCTTGACAGACAAGTTCCAAAAAAATTCTATATCCCTAGAACAAGGGGATTGCGCAATTCAAGGTAACTCCTACTGTTGTGGGGCTTTTGTTCTAAATCTTATTCCCCTGCGGCTACTGTGGGACTAGACTATCCAGAACTAGCTTGAGTTTTACCCGCCTTCCTCCAGTCTCTGAAAGCACACAGATACCTGCCAAGGACTGTGCCCGAATGTTTTGGTCTAACAAACGGTCACTATGCCAATGGCATACAACCGGCACAAGACAAACCAACAGTTGGCTTCCAAGTGAAACTCCACTGTTTAGCTGGGGACACCAGCTATGAAGGAACCCTAGCATGCCAGGGGCACCAGTACCTGACACTCTGAGCAGAGGCTGAACCGCTCGTGCCCTTCAGGGAGTTGGCACCAACCAGTCGCACAGTAACATAACAGGGAAAAGTACTGCCCGTGACTCTTCAGCCCAGGACAGTCTGTAAGACTGACATCTGAGGTGACAGAAGGACAATCTTGCACAAATCCAGCACACACTTTTTGGCTGTGTCGTAGAAGAATTATATTGTTCCTCTCCTACAGCGGAAGCGCTCGAGAAGAACTTGTTAGCCTTCTATGTGCAGGGCTTTGGCCCCTGTGGTGGTCTGGATGAGAATGGCCCCCACAGGCTCATATATTTAAATGCTTGGTCCCTTCTTAGTGGAACTGTTTGGGAAGGATTATGAGGTATGCCCTTGTTCGAGGAGGTGTGTTGTTGGGAGTGGGTTTTGAGTTTTAAAATGCCCATACTAGGTCCAGTCTTCCCATCTCTCTCTAACTGTTCCTTATAGATCAGATGTAATCTCTCGGCTACTGCTCCAGAGACATACCTGCCTGCCTGTCACCACTGGTCCCCACCATGATGGTCATGGACTCACCCTCTGAAACTCTAAGTCCCCAATTAAATGCTTTCCTTTATAAGTTGCTCTGGTTATGGTGTCTCTTCTCAACAACAGAAAAACAGTCGGCTTCCTGCAGAGCAGCATTTGGGTAAACAGAGGACCCCTGACCTGGCCTGGGCTGCAGGCTGTACTGGGGAAATAGGTAAAGGGACCGCACTAGAGAAAACGCGTGAGTCACCCTCTCCCCCACACCCATCAACAGCACAGACACAAAGTCTCAAGGGCCCAGCACATTTCCTTTAGCCACTAAACAAGCTTCCCCTTTGCCCAGAACACAATAAAGGAATTAGGACCCACCTAAATCTCTGCAGCTGATACTTCAAGGCTCAAAGTCTGGTTGGCCAGCTCAGACATACATGACCTGTGATTCTTCTTTATAGCTAGTCCCAATCCTGCTACCGGTGCAATTCTGCTAATTCAAATAGCCTTTCCGTTAAGGCAGGGTTGATAGTCATCTCCTATCTCCTTTTCCTGCTGACATCATCCCACATTTTCCAGGACAAATGAAGGTATAGTTCCTGGCACAATGTTCGGACTGCCTAGGATAGTCTATAGTAAGTACTAGAAAAACGCCTGCTCTCCTGAGTAGGCTCCGAACTCTCAGGAGATCAGCAAGTTATCAGAGGGTAAAGGAAAGGCAAGGAAACAAATCAACCAGCCAAAGTTAAAGAGTAAAAAGAATTCAGGGACTGTAGCTCAGGCCCAGATCTGTCGTGAGCATTTGCAATGCAAATCTGCGTTTTGTTCACCACCACCACCACCACAAGATCTTGCACAACAGCATGTGTATAAACATCCACGCCAACAAAGCCTGACTGTGCAATCACGCTGTAATTACAGGCAGGCAGGAAGCTGCTGCTAGGGACTTCACCATTCAACCTCTAGACATCCCATCTCCAAGCGTCCACGGCCTGTACACATTCCTGCACACATCACCATGTCCCTGCCGCAGCTGCAGCTTCCAGCACAAACCAGGGAGCCTGGGCGCCAGCCTCACGGACTCGCCAAGACCCTCGCCACTCTGAAAAGATGTCATAAACTTCTCAGCTGTTTTTTTTAAAGATCCAAAGCCACGAGGCTATGGAGGACTGTAGGAACCACCATCAAAGTTCGCAGGCACATTCCTGCAGCCCTAGCAGTTTTAGAACACAGAAAAGAACAAGATGCGACGGAGTCCACTGGAAGCGGCTTTCTGGGTTTTATATAGAAAACACTCACATATGTACGTGGGTGTGCTGACAGTTTTTATGGCTAAATTGCAAAGTGTTAGGCCTTAGAGAGCTTACTGTTGGGTTCGGGGCGTGGCGGGGAGAGAGGAAGAGTGCAGAGTCGGGAGGGGCTTGTTTTAAGGAGGTTTGGGAACAACTCGGGTTTTGTTTGTTGGAAATGGATAGAACTGTTGACCCAAACTTCTGAGTTGCTCGGTTCTTCGTCACTGGAAGGCCGAGCAAACAAAAGTAGAGGGAAAGTTCCTGTAACTTCCTTCCTGCAACCTGGTGGAGGGCTGCGTAGAGGAAGGGAACGTTTCCCAGGGAAACACCGGGAAAAGCTGGAAAGGCGGTAGCTCGTAGCATAGAGAAATGGGGCGCAGGGTGGAGGGCTAGCTCGGGATGCAGGTCCTGGAAGGCCCCTTCCAGGCATCTCTGCTCTCAGAAGTCGCTCCCGAAGAGTCGGGCCGGTCCCGGGGCAAAGCAACCACCTCAGGGGCGCAACATTGGCCCAAGTCTCCGCCGCTCTGCCGGTCTTCTGCACCCCCACCCCCAGCGCCCCAGGGCCCGGCCCGCGCCGCCAAGCCGGAACGAACCCCGGGTCCTCCCCAAGCTAGACGTCTGCGCCCCCGCGGCGGGAAGGACACGCGGTGTCTACGACTCACCAGCACGCTGAATCGCCGGCAAGTCCGAGGGGCGCGGGACGCGGGCGAGCGCGACCCGCAGACTCAAACTTTGTTGCTCTCGGGACGACGCAGTCGTCACTTCCTTGCCGGCCGGGCGGCGCGGACGGGCTGTGACCCAGCAGCTAACGCGGCGGCGCGCAGGGCCCTGCAGCCTCCTGCCCCGCCCGCGCCCCGGTTCCAGCCCGAGTCGCCCCCACACCAACAACGCGCCACTCGGACGGGCCCGCGAGCC